TTCAAAGTTTTGTCACCAAGAAGTGTAGGGGAGGGTGGTGAGGGTGAAGTAAGAGGTGGGGGTGGAGAAGAGGAAAAGCAGACACCTCCTTTTTTTTTCTTTCTTTTTTTTTCCCCCCTCGACGAAGCCTCCTCTCGCTCCCTGGCTGTCTATCTCGCTCACCAGCCCCGATGTTTTCAAACCGAGCAGACTGCGAAGGCTGCTCCCCTCGTCGCTCGGGTGGCCGTCAAAATCGCACGCCGGCGAATCCTCCGAGGCTGTGGCAGCGCGGTGAGGGCCGCTGGGGAGCAGATCCGAGGAGAGCGACCGCCCCTGGACATCAGCGTGGGGAATTAAAGCGCATTTTGATCGCGCTGTGTTGTGCAACGGTGCGGGGGAAAAGCGTGATCGCGTCTCTGTTCTTGCATGGCGTTTCCTGCCCACATCCTCAGCGCGTCAAAAAAAAAAAAAAAAAAAAAAAAAAGCCGAGGCTCAGTTCCGTTTTCTTAAAGGAGCCGTCACCCGGGCACCCCGGTCCTTCCTTCCCTCCCTCCCTCAGTCTGGTCATCAGCAGCGGGTCTGCTGATCAGACTGGGCTGGGCAGAGCCCACCACGGAAGCCCCTCAGCTGTAGCTGTTACACGCATTTGACCGTGTGTACTAATGAGGCCTGCCATTTAGTCAATAATCAATTTTAAATGTCTGGTTCCGCGTTAGATGTAAATTTAAAATGTTTTTGTGTTCTAAAAAGTTTTGTTTCTGAGACGACAAGAGGCAGGCACCTCTACAAGATAACTAAGCGACGAAAAAGCAACTCCAGTCTGTTTTTATTTCTACTTTACTCCAAAAAAGTGACATGTTAAACTTTGCTCAATTATCGATGAAAAAACCGTTATTGGGTTGAAAGGTCACCTTGCCATCAACCCAATTATTAGCCCCCTTTATATGTTCTTTATCAGATTCAAGTTTGAGAGTCAAGTTCACTAGTTAGAAGAAACATGGTGAAAATTAAAATGTTATTTTAAATTTAAATTTGATCATTTTTGGGCTTAACGGGGTTGTATTGACCAACTTTATAGTTGTTACAGTTTTTGTTTTGCCCCAAAACTTTCAGTTGGATTTGGGTCTGGACTTACTTTGACTGGAAATGTGAGTTTACAGACATTTGTTTAATATTTGGTAGAGCTTGCAAAATCCATCCATGCCCAAGCTTTAACTTCCAGGTTGATGAAATTTAGCTTTAACATTTCCACATAATGTCACTTTTTAAAAGAAGAGCCTCTCCATTACATGCCTGTTGGAGTTAAGACATCTCCAGACGTTGAGATACTTGTATCTGACGGCATCTGTAAATCCCAATCTGACGTTTTCTGTTGCTTTTGAAATAATGACGTTTTCCTTGCCGAGTAGCCTTTTGACCCACCTCAGCAAAAATAATAATTCCAGTGGAGAATAATGTTCTCTTAGCACCTTCATGCTAATTTTACAGCAAAAACATTTTCATCTTTGAGACACAAAACCCTTATCCTTCCTGAACGCCATGATGTCTTGACATCACCATGATGCCGATAGTTCCCTACTTATTTGCCTATAATTTTTTCAACAGATGAAGGCAAGTCCTTCATGCATCTGAAAATTGTACCCATCCAATTTTACTTTGAGTGACTTTTTTATTTTTCCATATCACACAAGTAACCTGCATGCCTGAGGTCATCAGGTCAGCCTCCGTTTAACAGATACTGTAACGTAACCAATCAGAAGCTTGTAAAGCCATGACACCAAGACATGGGTTTCTTAAATGGTTACTATACTGTATTATATAGTAACATTGGTCTAAAAGTAATTGGAACACATTATGAAGCAATATGTATTTTAAATTCACTCTTATTATTCTGCGAATTACTAAAATCCAGATATCTTTGATAATCCTAACTGACCTAAAACAAGAACGGCTTAATCTAATTTAATAATCAGACTATGAGAAAAAAAAAATATATAAAATTCTAATTTAAATCTCCAAGATCAAAAGCACAAAGACACAAGGTTGCATGAGCAAATCAAATAGTTTTATTCAGATTTTTTTTGTTGTTCTTTTCATTCATACAGCAAGAGTCAAATATGGCAACAATAAAATGAGCATAAACAAATCTGGAGACAGAATAGTACATCATCATGTGACAGCTGTTAGCAAATACATAACTGGTGTCTGCGCTTACAAGTAAAAAGCAGTCAAAAGCGAACATGTGCACCCAGCAGGGAAGAAGAAGAAAGACCTTGGTTGCAGCCAGAAGACTTGAAAAGTCTTGTATTTCTCTCTCTTTTTTTTTTTTTGTTGTTGAGAAAATGGTGCTTTGGTTATGTAGCGACTATACAAAGAAGCCTCAAGTTAGAAACATATTGACACTGACTTTTACATTCATTTTAAAGAGGAATTTGCCAAATATGCATTTGGTATGACGAGCCTTCGCCTGCTGAGTGCACAGCTAAGAGAAGCAGGAACAACTGCTTGTGAGTTAGTGGGGACTGTAATTCTCTATCCGAACATATCTGAGGTGGACAAGTGCTAATATGTTATTATTGTTATTTTTTTTTTTAATAACTTGTTTGCTTGGAAATACTTGAGTAAGATGACTTGTTTTTAAAAGTATTATTTCTCCACACCGTAGATGTTATCTACGGCATGTATGATTTCAGAAACAAAAAAGGAACTACATTTTTTTTTGTTTTTTTTTTAAGGTTTTGTGGATCTCAAAGTGCCGTCTGTCCTTATATATCTACACAGCTTCTGTTGTTTACATGCAATCAAATCAAACTATAATAGAAGATATTTTTTATTTATTTTTTTATAGATTCATGTATCAACTGTACCATGGGACACTGCTTGTCCGGTAAATGAGTATATGGACCTTAATGGATATGTCATCATATCGGAGGCATAGAGTTAGCATGACACGGGGAAATCCACTCCCCTGCAACATTCCCTGACATTACGAGCCACCTATAAAATAAGCGCATAGCTTCCTCTGAATGCATTGGCCAAGAAACTAGTGCCCTTCTTTGCAAGCAAATTTTAGCTGGTCTTCTAATTTAAGAATTTTAAATTAATCTAACAAAATTCCTTATAATTATAGATCTTTTTTTTTCTTTTTATTCAAAATAATATCTCATTATGATACACGTTTTTTTTTTTTTTTTTTTCTCTGTTCATTTTTCTATATACAGAAGTGCAAAAAGTTAACCTTCGTTCCTTAGGTTAGAACTCATTATCTGCAGCATGTCCGACTCTTCCCCCAGCCGGGGCGGGGGGCGAAAGTCTCGGCTTTTCCTCACTCCAAATCTCAACAAACATCAACATCAATCTCACTGCTCGTTTTGGCCTGACATTCAGGGCAAACTTAATATTCAAACAAAACTACAAATCTCTTTGAAATGGATACAGTAGAAAATATTTTTTTTTCCTCTCTCAAACATGGACAATCCACTTTTTTTTTTTTTTTCTCAATACAATATAGTATTTTCAAACATGACATTGACATGTTACAAGGAAAATCGGAACTTTTCCCGACAATCATCTCATTCCTTGTATCAAAAAGTTTCTCATCAATAAAATTAATTGACAAATACAACAACAAATGAGAAAGACATCCAGCTATATGAATGAAGTGAGTATTTAAACACATTATCCTCTATATGGTTTGAAAAAGTTATGAATGTCATACTATCTTAACATCTACAACGGCTATATGAATGTTGTCAAGTAATAATATAGTAAGGCAAAAAAAAAAAGAAAAGAAAAAAATCTAAAACTACATACCTCAAATAGATTCAAATTCTTAAGTAGTACATAACACATAAATTCAATGAAATTTAGGAGAGTAATTGTTTCAGAAAGAGAGACAAACAACAACAAAAAAGAGATCAAAAGCGGCTTGTGTGAAGTATAAAACTCATTTGTGTTTTTTTTTTTTTTTTGTTTTGTTTTACCTGCATGGTGATTGAAAGGACATTTGATTGGGTACAGACCCATAAATTGTGATCTAAGGCTTTGTTAGGTACATAACATTGGTAAAAACACAGCACACGCTTCTGTGAAGACCTAAGAGGGAAATAATCATACGACACGCACATGGAGGAAAGATAGTTAACATATTTCCTTATCTGTTTAATCCTCGACCTAGATGTGAGTAAGACTTAAGAGCAAATCTGTGCTTTGGTTTCATAGTGAGATCAACAAAAGCTTCATATTTTTACTTGAAATGCAAGCAGCACTCTATAGTAAAAACGAGAAACTGAAACAGAGTGAACCACAAAATTGAAGTGCACGAATGGTTTTTTGTTTTAATGACCTACAAGACCTTTGGGCCTGTTTGTTTTTAAAAGTGGCTCAAAATTGCTTCTCGGAGACACGTTTTTAGAGCTGCTCCTGTTTAAAAAGGAAGGGAATAAAGTAACACAACGCTAATTAAAGCTACTCCCTCTATTTCCCCAGGCTTTAGAGTCGACGGACTTGATTAACAAATTATCCTGATGAATAAAACTGGTTCATTTGAAGGAGGCATGACGGATTTTTTTTTTTTTTTTTAGAAAAACACTCTCCATTTTTGATAAAAAAAACCCAAACCAAAACAAAAAATTAAAACCCCACTTTCAAACCTAATGAAATCTAAAAAAAAAGATGAACATAATAATAAAATAATAATAAAATAATAATAATAATAAACACTCAGAATGGAGATTCTAAAAGAAAACAATACAAAAAGAGCCATACAAAAGTTTTACCTTCGGTAAACAAATAACACTGCTGAGATAACACTCTGGTTTTAGCTGTATGGCCTTGATGGCACATGACAAGGTGAGACAAGCTAGCCTGGCTGTGCTTTCAAGGTACACAGGTATGTTGGTTTACCCAGAACATTCATATGTCCAAGACCCTCATTTCAACATCTAGTTTCACTAGTAGCCGTAAAACACAATACTGTACATGCCCAATGCATTTGGCAGAGAGAAGAGAAACAAATAAAATAAAAAAATAAAATAAAAAAATTGATAATATCATTGTGCCTTTTAGATTTCAATTAAATTCAAGGTGCATATTTGCATTCCACTTGTAAACTATGAAATATGGCTATTGATTAAAAATAAAGCTGGAAAAAAAAAGGAAACAATAAAAGAGGGTGGAAAACTCTCGGTCTGTTAACGTACCAGCACTAGATGTTGTCTTGTAGCAACAACGCTCTTAACCTTCTGTGCATGCAGTTATGATAACAAGTAGAGCAAACTGAGTGGTATGATTCAGTTAGACACAGAGGCGTTACGTGATTGTTCCCACCAACTCATCCCCTTCTTCTTCTTCTTCTTCTTCTCGGCTGGACGTCAATTCTGACGGCAAATTCTTCTGGATATTGATATGTGGGAAGATGGCACAGATCGTGTGTTTGTACCCTTGATGCATGTGACGAGTCCCTCGTTGTGGACAGGCTAAGAGATGGCTGACCCTCCTTGTCCCATTGCTTGACATTCTGAAGGTTATGTACATAAAGGCTTAACTCTTTTGGCTTGGACGGTGCCAGCACACATTCATTTTGATCTGCAAGAGAGGACGGATGTCACTTAAGAACGAACGTTCAGGGAGCAGAGTACATAGAGTGTCCTGCACTTGAACTGTTTAGCACTTTGTCAACCCACAACCAAAAACGTCAGTGTATTTTACTGAAATTGTATGTGGTGAAAAAAACAAAACCCACAGTGTTGCTTAATTGCAAAGCAGAAGGAAAACGAGACATGGTTCTCAATGTTTATCTTGCAAAGAACAAAAAAAAAAAAGGAGACAAGTATTAGTAGTCAGCTCCTCTTAGTCAGCATTTGATCGAACCTCATTTTGCTCTAATTAAAGCTGGATGTCATGAAGTTATCAGAGTAGATCATCATTCTTCCAGTTCACAAACGTGCATTTTGTGATAGTCTATCGCATAAAATCCAAATAAAATACACTGGAGTTTGTGGTTGCAATGGGACCTTAAAGTGGAACATCCTACAGAGTATGAATGCTACTGTAAAACCGACACTCTACAGCCATGGAGTTGAAACCAGAGCTAAAATGAGTCACACAACAAAGCCTAAAAACCTGGAATGAATAGACAGAATAGAAGCACTGTAATAGAAACTCACTGTTCTTAAGAGGAACTACATTTGAGTCAAGTACTTGTGACTACTCAGATGATCTGCAGATATTATTGGAATCTGGTGACAGAAAACAGAGAACATATGAAGCATGTCAAATCGAAAACACACAAAGTGAGCATTGGCCTCTAAACAAACAGATCAGTGCAATGTGACCACATCCTCTCTCTACGAGATGAGCTCGCTGCTGAAAGGAGACAAAGTTAAGGAGACAGGACAAGCTTACTGCTACATTCGGGGGGGAGGGGGGGGAGACAATCGATGCAAGTTTGTCATACCAAGGACAAATAGTTCAATCAAGACACACTAGCAGGGGCGGGAAGAGGGTGACTTAAAGGAAGTGTGAGATGAGGGAGGGTTGGATGGGAAGCTCTCAGTTAGGTGGCTTTCCCCATGCAAATCTAAGTCCTCCATGTTGTTGACCTCCACACCTCAATCAGATGCGGAAAACATGTAATAATGCATGACATGTTGACTGATTCTTAATTCTTTTGCCAAAAACTTTTAATTCTGTATAATTCACCTCCAGCAAAATTTCAATCAGAATGTTGCAACATTGCAATACTGCTTTTTAACTAATAAAAAAAACAACAACAAAAAACTAATAAAGTCCAGCGTTTATACACAAAGATAATGGTAGAGCTTTGCTTTATGTGCTGGAAGCGGCTGCAAAAAAAAAAAAAAAAGAACAAAAAAAACAATAGTAAGCCAAGCACCAGAAGGGCACAGACAGCGACTGTTGCACAAAGCTGTGCAACAAGGCTCTCAAAAATGTAGGAAAACAAAAATTAAACAAATGAAAAAAAAAAAGACAGAACTACCTCATACATACCAATTGCATGTATTCGTTGGTAGTCAACTTTGATAAGGAAGAGTCCTCAAAGGTGGAAAGGACAAAAATCAAGGTTACAATGAGGACACAGAATAAATACACATCAGATACTTTAAGGGAAAAAAATGATTATGCTTATAGTTAACAAATATAGCCAAAAGAAACGCTTCATCATAATGTGTTAAGACATTAAATATGGCATGTTGGACAAGTGTAGGCCAACAAGAGGGAGTACTGCTTTCTACCCAACCCACCCATTATAAGACACAAGCATTCCAACTCTATCAATGTGCACAGACAGATAGATAGATAGATAGATAGATAGATAGATAGATAGATAGATAGATAGATAGATAGATAGATAGATAGATAGATGGTGGTAGAGGTGCAAACCTGATTGGTGGAGGCAGTTGCGAAGGGAACGCTTGTGGCAGATGTGGTGGCTGCAGACACAGTGGCTGGAGTACCACCGTGCATCATGGGAACTTTTTTTTTTTTTTGGAGGGAAAATCATGTAAGCATAAATACACAGAAGAGCAGAGGAGCCACATACATACCAGGCAAATAAAAAGAAAGAAAATGTGAGCGGGTGGGGGTAAAGGGGGTGGCAGGCCTGGGCCCAAGTGGGATTCGATTTAACTAGTTCCCCTGACTTCTCTCTGCCAAGACTTGAGTGCATATTTGAGTATTGTTACAATTGAAGTTATTCGATTGTGCTTTATTTTCTTGGCCCACGTAACTTTAAAAGCTTACCTCAAATTTATTGTTGCATGATGCTTAATAATGAAGTAACTACAGCAGAGGAGATGAAGGGACCAGTTGTAATTGAACTCCCTTTAGTATTCTTTAGGTATAAAAAGTAGGTCAGTCAAGTTAGGACGGCCAAGAAGAAGTTCTTAACAAGCAGGAAGTCGACTGTTCAAGCAGTTTATGAGCACACAGGGGAACTAACAAAGCATTGGTCGGTTTAACCGCTACTGAATTCAGCTGATAAACAAAATTCTGTTTCACATCATTCGTTTTTCAACGTGTGGACTCATGTTTCAGGTCTGAACTCGCGTCTTTAGCAGCTAAAACAGCGACTCTCGGGTCACCAAAATCAACATTGAGCTCTAATTCTAACAAACAATTTTTAATGGACAATTTGATTTTGATGACCAGTGACTCAAAGACACCAGGTTACAAAAAAGGAAACAAACAAACAACAACAAAAAAAAAAAACAACTGAAGAAGGAAAAGCTGGAACCTACCAATGCTGGCTGCAGGTGTCATGCACAATATTGAGCCTGCCCATCATGCAGTGCAACAGGAAGTGGATTGGGTAGGGAAGAGAAATCAAAACAGCCCATCACAAGATTCGTTAGAGGGAAGGGAGAGATAACGTGGGAGAAAAAGTTAATATTTCTCAAACACAGACATCAGTGACTGGAGAAGGTGCAGAGGTGACTGAGACTTTTGTCTGCAGGGCAGTGTAAGAGTTTGTAATTTGCTAAGCATAACAGGAGGAGAATCATTACAATCATTGAACATCAAATACACATTCCAGCATTGAGCCCAAAGCAAAGTCCCAGAATCATGGTTTGACCCCATCCCACGGACTATTACACAGTTTGATCTCTTTTACGGTGGTTAATTTCGTATTTAGTTAAAAATCATTGTTAGACTAAATTCTATAGATAGATATCCACAGTTTAATCAAGGTAATTAGTCGGAAGACAGAGATTAAAACCCCATCTTAATTCACAGAGGCCATGCAATGCCATACAAAACATGAAGCAAGTATTTAGGGCCTTCCTTTTAAACTACAATACAAGACACATGCAGTGCCTTGCAAAATTTACATTTCTATTAATCTTCACAACATTTTGTCACATTACAAATATATATATATATATATATATATATATATATATATATAAAATTTTTTTTTTTTTTTATAAGACCACTCTGCACTGACCCCCATAAAAAATCTTCTCT